CTCGCGGGCAAACTTGGCTCTGTGGGCTGGAGTAGCGTCCTGCTGGAAGGACCATGAGATGTTTCAGAAAACGTAGTCGGATAATGTTTTATTTACTTCCATTAGTACGCCGTTTGAGTACTGGTCTTGGTCAATTTTCATGCCTGCCATGAGCGGCTTACCCTTGCCAGTGATTTCCTCGGAAAACATCATTTTACTATTCTGATAGCAACCATTTTGTGAGATATTACACGCTGGATGTTTCTTTCCGGAACGCGAACATTTTGGTTGTTGAGGAATGGCTTTATCGCAAAAAATTTCTCGACCAGAGAAAACGACGAAGGGTTGCGTGTCACCACTTTTGACTTTCTGCATTTTTAGCCCTGCAGTATCTGTTGAGATCGGAATTGAAGCGAAATTCCTGCATACGATAGGAACGGCAGTAAAGCTCCTTGATGACATTCCTCCATCGCGATAACTCGGATAAGCCGTGCTCGTTGACTTCCTTTTGATGGGACACCCAGGACCCCGACCAATTGGCATACGGACCATTTTAATAGTCCTATCTTCAGAAACAGTCTTCCTTTCTATCTTTCCTGGTTTGTCTCTGATTCAATCTTCTTTTCTATATCGTTTAATAGCCTACTATACGGTTATTAGAAAAATCCCAAAGAATTTCATAACGCCCTTCCACTTCTCGCGCGTCAATGATNAATGAGAGTTCCACATCAGCAACCATGCATATTGCAAGAAAACCTTCTTATGCAACTAATTAATATCAGGTAATGTGAATTTGATAGATTATTTCTACCTTAAAAATTACTGAACTTTGGCGCAAATAATTTTGGGACACCCTGTACATCCGAGCACACTGTAATTGCGGCTTACCACTGAATCACACCACCACGGATTCCGTACACCCTGAATTAATTCCCTATTTTACATGAAACTCCTGCCGTCAAAACTTTCATTAGGGTTAGAAAATGCTAGACAAACACCTTTTTTCACTTCTTTTCTTCTTTCCGTCCGCAAAATCAGTTCTGCACTTATAATTCGTTAAGCTTTTCCAATTCTCTAGGCCATCCCTATTAACTCATTTTTACGAAGTGCTCACATAGCACTAATTAAGCGCTCAATAATAACCAGTTAACAAGTATCATTGCATAATCAGAAATCTTTATCTTCATCTTTGATAATTACGTTACGTAGTCATAAACTCCTTCGACTAGAAATAATTACGTCATTCAAATCATTCCAGTTCACTTTTCTAATGGTCCTTGACAATTTCCCGTGCCCTGCACAGTTACATAAAGAAGGCGTGACCATGAGAAACAGCGGCGTAATTAGAAATAAGTTGTTAACGAAAACATAAAGTTGGCTAATGTCAATTTATATTAGGGCACGCCCATATATGCTTAAACATCACTACGATCCCTATTCTGCATCGTAGTGATGTTGACTTACACACTGATTTGCCGAGACCACCGACTACCGACACGTGGGGGCCGTGGTCTTCTCGGGCAATTTGGTTACAATCATCCGATCTAGGAAAGACTACAAGACGTGAAAGATCCAGTAACGTACGTGTTTGGAGTTCAATTAAGTGACTGTGCAAGCGGATGCGCTCTACTTACGTGGATTGCCTTTTATATTTTGGAATTTAAGAACGAAAATAAATGCTAATCATTGAAAATTGCTTTACTTTTCAAAATATTCCCCCTTAAGATCTATACACTTCTGCATGCGTTTGAACCAATTGTCGAAGCACTTTTGCCACTCTGATTGAGGTATCTTAAAAACATGCATTCTGAACGCATCAACCGCTTCTTCAAGTGTCGAAAAACTCGATCTCTCCCAAGCATAAGTGGTTGCCAGATGGCAACAGAAACAAAATCACAACAGAATACACACAACATGATATAATTAAGAAATATAATTCGCTAGAGCTCCATTAGAGAGCTTTACTAAAACGGGCTTTGCGGGCATTCATCGACTAAGGGAGAGAGTCAAGCTTAGTTAGGCGATTGTACACTGATCCAACGCGATTTACAAAGAATTTGTGCTTAAGATTTGAACGAGCTGCTCTAAAGTTTACCTTACTGTAGCTTCCTCTAGTAATTGATGGCACACTAGAAAATGAATCAATATATCGAATCTTAAGTTGGCCACGGAGTATATTGCTGACCATCATCACATCTCTCATCCTCCTGAATGATAGCTAAGTCAAACCTAGAAGACGGTTACGAGATGCAGAATCCGGTAAAGGTAATCTGTATATCGTAAATTATGGAGAAATAATTTGCTTGTAAAACTAATTTGAACTGCCTCCAACAGATTTATATTACGGTGTTTTGAGGGGGTGAAGACTGTCGTGCCATACTCCAAAATTGGTCTGACATAAGTTTTATAAGCAGCAAGGAGGACTTTCGGATTATTTGATGCTAGCGCTTTAAATATGTCAGAAACTTTTTATTGGGCTGTGAAAGAGATTTGATCAAAATGTTGGGAAAAGTCAAAATTTCGTTAATGTGGCATCCTAGATTCATAGTAGAAGGACTACAGTAAGATCATAACCATTTAAATTGTATCGATAATGCCTGTTGTTGGAACCAAGGTGTAACACCTTGATTTTTT